AAATCTACCAACATAAAAAAAAAAAAAACCTTAAAGGGAAGGCTTCCCTTAAAAACTGGAGAGAACTTCATTAAAAGTGAGAACAGGAGGGATGGGGAGAAAGACAGCCTCCTTAAAAAAAAGGAAAAACAAAACACTATTGCCTGCAGAGAAATCCCCAAAGGGTAAGCTTATTATTATAACCTCTCAGGGGTGACAGGTTTTATTTTACATGATTTAGTTAAACATAGCATCTAAGACAAAGAGCATGGAAGAGCCAGGTAAGGTTAGGGTCATATGTTAGGAGCTTGGTACTCTCTGACCCAAAGTGAGCCTCAGAGAGGCGTGGCCTGATATCTTCAGACTGTGGGATCTGAATCTTAAGACTGTCTTAAAGGGGCAGATCTGTGTTCTAACACTATACTGTTACATTAACACTGAAAACATTCAGAATATCAATTCCCCTGGATTTGTCAAGTCACCCAAAATGGGGATAACAGAATGACTGTCAGGAAGAAGGAAACATGAAGATGTGTGGAATCATTCTGTGTTGCAGTAAACTCCCATGAGAGTTAGGAAAGATTAACTCTTAATTGATTGAAAATGCTGCAAGACACTCACAGATTGTGTAGTCCTTACTGTAATAGGTTCTCCCTTCTGTGTTCAGATAGTTGGCCCTTCATGATCAGATGAGCAATGCAATTCAGGTGCATCTTAGTTTCTTTTCTATTGCTGTCCTAAGACACCATGACCAAGGCAACTAATAAAAGGAATTCATTAACTGAGTTTATGGTTTCAAAGTGTTAGTGTCCATGATGGTGGAGCAAAGACCTGGCAGCAGAAACAGCTTGAGAGTTCTTATCCTGATCCACAAACAGGAAGCAATGAGAGCTAACTCAAGATGCCTGCCCCAGGTGCCATACTTCCTCTGGGACTACCATACCTCCTACTCATCTCCATCACAGCCACCAACTGAATACCAAGTATTCAAATGTATAAGCCTATGGGGGGCATCCTCATTCAAATAAGCCCAGATGTTATGTGTGATAGAAGGGATTAAATCATGTATGTGACATGAAACTTCCTGCCATCTCTAAAAGGTTTCATAAAAGTCCAATCTTCCCTCTTCTGGGGATTGATCCAGGGCTTCAGGGCTGCTTTCTGAAGAGGCTCTTCTGGCTATCTCACCCCTCCCTCCACCATCCCTCTCAAGTGATTCTTTTTCTTTGCCTATCTTGTTTCTTCTTAATGAAGGCCCCCGCTCCAGGTTTTAAATGGAAACTTCTTCTTCCCTTTAAGGTCCCATCATATTTGGCTTGTCATTTATTTATATAATAGTTATGCGTTATTTCTGTCTAATGTTCTCCCTCCCACTTCAAGGCCTGACCGTGGCCTTGAGGCCTATTCATTCTGATTAACCTCATTTCCGAAGGGAATTATATCAGCTTCCTTTCTGGTCCCACTGTTCTTTTACTTGTTTTATATTTACCAGAGCTCGACCCCAAAGGTAGGTGCTTGGTATTCCTTGTCAAAGTGGCACAAGAGTACAAGCAATCAAAGGTCATGTCCCCATGAGGCCATGCAGTCAGCCTCCCTCATGGGGTGCCACCCCCCATCTCTGACTCTGTTGCCCACCCAACAGCATTCTAAAACTCCTAAGATTGTGTGCTTATTCTCCATATTTGGCTAAATTTAACGACTTAAAACTAAATAGGTATAAAAATATGCATTTCATGTTGATAAAGAGGCCAAGTTCAATGCCAATATTGCTTTCTAGTTTCAGGAATGGACTTTATAATCATTTTGATAATCTATGTTTGAGAATTTAAATTCAGGTTTTGAAAATCTGATACTCAAGTTTCCTATATGTGAGGTGGATGTGTTAACATCATAGGTTAGCTAGGCGTTTACTGAGTTGAAACTTGAGTTTTGAGACTACAACTTAGGCCCACTGAGATTTGCAACATTTACTGGTACTAACTAGTCACATAACAACAGCCATCCATTAATTTTCAGCCACTTCATGGGACTACAAATGCTTTGGTGACCAAAAAGCAACATGAACACTTCACTGAATCCTGAGAAACATAAAATCAGAGTCAAGAGTCTCTCTGGAGTATTTTTTCTTACTACAACTTATCCTAAATTTAAGTATCAAATTATATTACCAGTTTCCACCCAGAGTTAGGGACAATATTGCATAGCAGGCCAGAGTCCAATTTTAGGTGAAACCTATTAGTAACTTATATTCTAATTAAGTCTAATTGCAAAACAAAACCATCCACATTTACCTCATCTGACCCTGTGATGAACTCTTCCTTTGGATGATATTCATTAGTCTTCAAGATCCCCAGAGAGCAGCCCTTATAGCAGGATGCTAGGACATAAATGACTGGTATTTTCAAAGGCTCAAATAATATACAGTAACTCCTAAAAAGTCCCTGGCTCCTACACGGTTAAAAACCAACTGAAGACAGATAAAATACTGTCGCTCTTCTAAAAGATAACTAAAATAATGTAAATAATTAAGAAAAAGTGTCTTCATGGGGGAGGGCATAGACCCTGCCCTGGATGATATGACAGACTTTGGGGATCCCCTATGGAGTTCCTCATCCTCCCTGAGGTGCCAAGGGGGGATGGAGTGGGGGGTTGGTGGGAAGTGGGGGAAAGGGAAGGGAGAGGGAGCTAGGATTGACATGTGAAGCAGGCTTGTTTCTAATTTAAATAAGAAAATAATAAAAAAATGTGTTCTTGAGGAAAATGACAAGCAAAGAAGACTAAAAACATTCATATTGTCCTTGGGTTTTATTTTCATAATTATCTTTCTTCAGAAGCAATCATCTAATTTCTATTAACAACATATTAATATTTTACTCACCAAAAAGCTGGAAAAATATGATAATGCACAGATTCCATACACAAATACCATACTCTGCATATTTACAAATTCAATATATTAAATGTGTTCTGTATACTGACTTCACTCACTATATAATAACTAAACACTAGATGATTCTAGCATATTCATGCAGACTTTCACTTTCATAGGGAGGGTGCTAGAGTTCTGGGAAACAATTCTTGTTGTAAACATTAAGTTTTCCATGTCTGACTAAGTTCTCCAGAACAAAGACTTAATGCAGGTAGAAAAATAAAATGTGTACATGTGGAACAAACATTCCTTCTGAGACACCAGACAGAATAACCAACATAAAAATGAGCTCTAAATCCTGCAGGCTGGTGTCTAATGGCAGGGGATATAAATGTCTAAATTCCTCTGTTGTTTTAAAACTGTGCTACAATGTTGTTCCAGGAGATACTCATGATTCCTTTTTTGTTTATGGTGTAAATGAGTAAAATTGACCCCATATAAGGTTTTATTGAATAACACGGGCCATACAATAGTCTAAAGTAACCTTTGGAGTTTGGCCAAATCTATTTTTAAAAAGTGCTAATTTGCTCGAATAAGCACTAATGTTTCTGGTTGGATCTAAGAGTAAATACAACATTGATGCTGTCTTCGAAATACCAATTTCCCCTTTAAATAAAAATGCCAAACACAGCTTTATCCACATTTCAATGCAATTAAAGACAATGTCCTGAAATCCAAAGGAACTATGCAGGTAACTTAGGGGGGAAGAGTATAAAACTTGTATTAGTGCTTCACGTCAGACTTGTAATCTGTGCAGAGACTGCACAATGACATCCACCCTCTCAAGCAGAGGGTGCTAGTCTGTTTAAGATCTGTCACTGGGACTGGTAGCATAAAGATGCTTTTCCTAGATTTTGGAAATCCAGCAAAACTAAGCATACTATGTGCAAATAAGGCATGCTATATGGAGACAGCAGTGGTGCATGGTGACAGGAACTACTCCAGTCAGCACTGCTGCTGTCTGCAGTCTCTTCAGTTCACAAGGATTATGTGATGGGTCTAAACCATACAAGTAAAAAAGAGAAATGCTTCAAATAGGAAATAACCACGGTAGGTCTTTGAGTTATGAAAAGATTGGTAACCCAGTCCTAAATGTTTGTCTTTCAAAACCATATCCCCCCTTTGGCTTTTTACTCTGATGAACTCCAAATCAAAATTATTTTGGAGATTAAAAAAATGCATGCATACTAGATTGACAGGAACATTATTTGGCTTTCTGGACACATGTAAATGGTCTTAATTAGTCCCATTTTGGTAAAGAGCCAAGTATGCTCTTTTTTATTGTTAAGAAAAAAAGAAACACCAACACTTTAGGGAGGGCTAAAGATATTTATAGCATCATTTTAATGTTGCCTTCCATATTTTGTAGTCACATATTGAGCTAAATATTATAAACCTTTTGTCCCAAGCTTGTCTCTGAAAAGACCCAATAATTTAAATGGATCTAATATGGTAATGGCTAAATTTCCTTTTCAAATGAGACAAACACTCTCTCAACTGAAGCAATTTTTTTTTATTATTCTTATGTTTTATATCCCTAAAAAGAAAATCCCAGGTTTTCACCGTGTTTTTGTCCTGCTTCCTGATGGTCCATGATGCCAGATGAGGCTACTGGTACAATGCAACCAAACTGACAGGATGGGAAGATAACTGTGTCATTTTCTAGTCTTAGCACATGCCATCTGGGGCTGATACTCCACACTCATTTAAACTGCCGGTGAGGGTGACAACTATGTCCCCAGCTCTGTGATCATCAATGATCCCATCACCCCTGTAAGGGTGGAAGGTGTAACCATGAACCATCACCACGGTCAGAAACAGGATGACAACTCTGGAGCACTGCATGCTGAGGACCTGCTGTCTGCCTCTCTTTTGGGCATTGTGGATGCTCCTGAGAACCTTAGCCAGAACATGCATGGGTACCATGTGACAACACAGAAAGACAGTGGGAAGAACCAGGCCAGTTTTAAAACAATTATTAAAAAAAAAAAAAAAAAAAAGTTATGTTTAGAGGTAATGCAATGAAAATTATTTAACAATAAATTACAAGAACCCAAGAGAAAAGAGTAAATATGCATATTTCCTGCCTTGCTTATGATATAATTTGCCTATAGATTTGAGAATCAATTATTAAAATAGGACTGTATTTTCTGCTCATTTCCACTCTTACATTGGAAAGGACAGTGATTCACAGGTAGTAGATACAATGGCTGAGTTGGGGAGATGGCAAACTAAACTCGACATATATCAACAGTCAACATCATAATCTCCATGACACAGAGATGACACAGAGTGGGCACAGATGAGTCCTAATCCCATGAAGATGGCTTGCCAGGATTTCCATCTTCTCATCTCCTCTGCAGGCAGGGTACTAGCATAGGCCTCCTGAATACTCGTCTTCCTCCTCCTCAGCAGTTGTGCTGGCAGCTCCATCAGGTTTGGCCTGGGGTGTTGCTGGTGATTTCTTCTTGATTCCCCCGCCCGGGACCACTAAGCTTAGGCCCAGCTTAGCATACTGTCAACAGTAAGACATGTTATTAAAGCTGGAAAACTAGAATCCTGATAGTGTCTTAGCATCAGTTAACTATAAAAGAACCAGGGGTAGGGGTAGATGAGGGTGGAGGTGGGAGTTCAGGGATGGCTCTCAGTAGTCAGAGGGACTTCTGCTCTTGCAGAGAACTTGAGTTCAGTTCCCAAACCCACATCTTTAACTCCTGTACTAGGAGACTCAACACCCTATTCTGACTTCTGTAGGCACCAGGCACGAATGTGGTGCAATACATGCAGGTAAACACGCATACACATAAAAATAAATCTTTTACAGGAGAGAAGTGCATGTGCATGAGATCAGCAAGACGGCTCAGTGGGTGAAAGTGTTTGCCACACAATTTAATTAATCCCCAGAACCCATAGCAGGATAGGAGGAAGAGCAACTTCACAGTTGTCCTGACGTCCACATGTGTTCTGTGGCGTCTGTGCCCATGCATTCTTCATACATGCACAGAGTAATAAATACAAGTTTTAGAAGACCAGAACCTAATCATCCATCCTCATGAACCAGCATTTTGAGAGAAATGCCCCGGGATCATGATGCAACTGACCTGCTGGCACTGGTAGATATATCAATTATGCACCTAACTTTGGAACTGGAGATGTACTCATTTAATAATACTTCTAGTAGTTATGAAGAAAAACCTACTATGTAAATGAGAGGGTAAACTAGTTACAAATTACAAACAATACAAATTTGTAGCTGGGAACAGACCTCAATTGGTAAAGGTCTTGCTTTCCAAGCATGGAGACCTAAGTTTGATCCCCAAAACCACATTTAAAACCTGGACCTGGAGATGGGGAGATGGATAAGTTGTAAAAGTGCCTGCTATATAACCAAAGACTGGAGCCCAATCCCCAGCACCTCAAATATAGTGACAGAAGCCTACAATCCCAGCACTAGGTGGGGGCAGAACCAGGAGGATCTATGGCTTGCTGGCCAGCCAGCTCAGCAAATCAAGGAGTTCCAGGGTCAGACTGTCTCAAAACAAGGTGGACAGTGCTGAAAGATACCGTATATACATTAGTATCACACACACACACACACACACACACACACACACACACATTTTCAAAAGCACACAAGAAGCTTGGTAGAGTGAGTGGTGCACACTTGTATTTCCGGCACTTAGGAGGCTGAGGCAAGAAGGCTTTAAGTTGAAGGCCAGGTAGTACTATAGAGCATTGAGACCGTGTCTCAGAAAAAATGAAAAGTATGTGTAAGAATTTACCTAGAATAAAAAAATTATTATTTCTCGACCTCTATCATTATAAGAAAATTCAAGATCTTAAATTAACTTGACAGTGCAACAGGACTCTAAGATTAGCAATCAGATAACTATATAAAGAAGAGTTGAGAAATAATGGTTCAGGGCTGTGGCTCACTCAAGTGTGAGTCTGTTTCTCACAAGAAGACCAGAGGATTCTTCACAGTAGTCTAGGAGACAAAGTGAACTTTTCCATTCTATAGGTAATGCTTGAAGATGATTAATAAATAGCCTGTCTCACACAGCGACCACAGACATAGGATGCCCACAGGCCCACAGCTACACAAGATTGGCCTCTTTCAGGAAGAAAGCCTAACAGCAACTGGATACACCAAGAAACAGGACAGCACAGAGGAGGTGAGAAATGGGGCTGGATTTATAATGTGCACATGACAACACAGCTAGGAAGCAAGTAAGTGGTCATGAATGCATTTAGTAGATAAATCACCTAAACACAGTAAAGTTCAACTGGAATGCCTGGTTCCTTTATGAGCATACTTTGACATGAGAAATACAGGTATAGAGGTAGAAAACTCACAAGTCCGCAGGAGGAAAATCACTTCAAGAGGAAGAAAGTTAATACAAAAGGCCCACTTACGTCATTGTCCATGTATTTGAAAAGGGGTGAGTTGCAGACCTCTGACACTTGATCTTGGTCTTGCTGGTCATATCCCTCCAGGAGCTGTTCAAGCGCAGCACAGTCTTCACTGCCATTAAACCCTGGTATGCTTTGGGAAGCACAAACCACACTTCAGCTCTCCCTTAAGACTCCTTCACCAGGGACAACTGTCCCAGCAAAAGCAGGAGAAGATCTGCAGGCATTCTGATTGTTACAGATGTTAGGATGCTATTGGCAACCAGTGGGTGGAGACCAAGGATGCCACTAGGAACCCTATAGTGCTCAAGACACTCCCACAGTAATAAATTACCAAGACTCATTCATGACCCCTTAAGAAAATGCCTCAACCTGATTTGTAACATATCACACAGTAATTTTCCTTTTCTGTTGTCGCCTTTTAAAGGCAAAGATAACAAAGTAACTACAATCATTCAGAGAACAACATAAGCAAGAAAGCAACTGGTAAAACTGGAGCTGCAGCTGAGCTCTGCAGTAAGGGTTTGCTAGGCACACACAGAGACAAAACAACAAAAGAACCCTGCAATGGAAGGCTTATCTCTTGGAAGATGCGTAAAAGTTTCATGGATTAAAAACAAAACTTGTCTAAGTAATGATGCTAATTCAGGAAACAGGAATGTCAACAGTAGTCAGTGAAAACAGACAAACCTTACCTATAGCTCTCCCTGACACACCTCTCTGCAGCCACATAATCATTTCTGTGTAGATGAACCAAGACCTGAGCAATCGTTTTCTGAAATGAGAGGGAAGGCTATGATGCAAACTGATACCTAATTTCATAGCCACCTTCTTGGAGTACTTAAAAGAATGAATTTAACTTTCAGAGCATTAGTTCATATATGAGAAACACATAGAGTTCTATAGTAACTTCCACAGGACACCTGGGAGGAACAGCATGTGAGAATCATGTGAGAATCAAATGGTGCACACAGCACACAGGGATTTGGGGACACTGAAGGTGAAGCAGGCCCGAGCCTGTCTGCTCTAACCAGAACCTGCTGACACTGCCATTAATGGCAGTGAAATGGTGACAACCTTTTCACCCCAAAGCCTAAGAATGCAGACAGGGCAAGTTTACAGAATTTCTTTCAAATATTTATATTCAATTAATGTTGAAAAAGGAATAAAACAGTGAAGACTTGTAACTCTACAATTACAGCCTGCAATTTTTAGATATTAGGTAAAAGACACTAGAGAAACTCTAGATAAGAGACAATGGCACTGCTTAGATCAAGAATACCACGGATAACATCTTTCTGGGAGAACAGCTCTTCATAAAGCGTTTTACTTTTTTTTTTTACTTCTTTTTGGTGGTAGTGTTTGATTCTTGAGACAGGACCTATCTATGCAGTCCAGGCTGGCCTCAAACTCACAATCCTCTTGCCTCAGCTGAATTAGGAT